CTCCCCCGCCGATCCTGACGAGACCTGACCCCTCGCGCCCGCTTGAAGTATACTTGGCCGTCTCGGAGGAAGCGATCAGCTCAGTCCTGGTACAAGAAAGAGAAGGCAGCCTAGTTTTATCTAAATCCCTAAACTTTAGGGATTGATTATGTGAGACAAGTAAATTAATTTTCTAACCTAACATTGATACATTTCCTTAAAATTAATTTTCTAACCTAACCTTAGTAAACCTTCCAAACCATGCTCAGGGGAATGTTTCAACCCATATAAAGCCTTTTTTAACCTGCCAACAGAATTGGCAGCAAGTTCATACCCCAGTGGGACCCTCCATATAGATTTCCTCCTCAAGCCCCCCATGTAAGAAAGCCTTTTTTCAAATCAAATTGTTGTAATTCCTGTTAGAATAGAATATATGTTTGTATTGATATAGTTCTATTTTGCCCTTCATAGTGTAGGGACAAGCTCCTTCAAGGAGACCTGTTGTACATTTTTTATCGGCAAACAAATTTTTTATATTAACAAAGGCACAAGACCTGTTGTATTGTATCTCTCTTTCTTTTTGTTAGATGTTCAGTTGGGTTTTCTGTTAGTGTTCAGTTACATCTGAACTGTATGTACATTACATTCCTACAAATACTGGGTTCCTTTCCTTGTATTCTAAATTAATAATGGAAATCTTTTTCTCTCTCTCTCTGAGTTAGAATTTAGAAATCAATATGGTATCAAGAGCATGTTGATCCATAATGATGGCTTCCGCACCAGAATCTCTCTCTCTCTGAGTCAGAAATCAAATATGGTATCAAGAGCATTTTGATCCATAATGATGGCCCCCGCACCAGAACCTGCTTCTACCTACCCTCCCTCTCCAAACACTTCTTTTGCAATCACTACCTTCTCTCTGGCAATCTCCGAGAAGTTAACTGAGAACAATTTTCTCCTATAGAAGCAACAAATTGAATTAGCCATCAAAGGACACCATCTGTGTAGGACGATCTAACTTGAAAAAATAGGAGGATCTAGCTTGGATAGTTCTGAATGAGGGGATGTCATGATCAAAGGTGACGGTTGACGGAAAAGGTACCATAAACAACAGGACAATGCGGGCAGACCAGAGGATAACTTGGGACGCCCATAATAAATTTTCAACGAGGACAATGGATCCACCGGGTAATATGAATCTGAGGGTATCTCTATTTGGCATGTTGAGAGGAAACAAAAATAGAGACATGTGACTGAATAATCCATGTGTTCTAACTACACTCCGGAGGTTTATTTAAATAGGAGAAATACATTAAACGTGCATGATGAGGGAATATTTAGTTTATCTTAAACTATAATATATTCCCTAAATATATTATTTTCAACTAATACAATCCCCCATAATTAAAATAAGGCATATGCCACCCAAAAACTTATCTGTTTTCATTCATATAACTAGAGAAAAGATTGCGGAAATGACCTAATGGGAGATGATTGTTCTTCAACATGAGATGAACCAAAATTTATCCCTCTTGATGTTTGCGCTGCAAGTTCCATCAGCAATGCAGCAAACAAAAGCAAGACTGCAATAGACATGATTTTACTTTATGGCAAAGCAAAATAAAACTATATGAGAAAGAACTATTTAGGGCAAATGCAAACTTACACGGGCCAACAAAAGCCATTCCAATGGCAAACAATGAACCAAAAAGTTGTCCAAGGGTGGCACCAGCACCAATAAACCCAAATAATCTTGAACCTGACTGAACGCAAAGCACGTTAAGTAGGCTCTGAATAATCAACACAAACAAAAATGATGTAGCTGCCAACACACCTCAGTGTCCATCACATCAATTACCCTTGCCCAAGTTGAAGAAATTGTAATTAGATTAAGCAAAGCAACCTTCACAAAATAAAATAAACTAGTGTCACAAAAATGCCATTCAAAACAAGCTTACAGCAGAATGAAATCAAATTACATATTAGAATCTAAAATTGGAAAATAAAATTATCAATCATATACCCAAAGAAACAATCCTATCCTGACAGAGATATAGAACCATCCATGGTTATCCCAACCAAATGATGATGTAAGACTGCCATGGTCATGAAGCAAAGGTGTGGATCCCTAGGAACATAATAAAATCCAATTTAACACAATCAAATACAAATACAAAAAAAAAAAAAAAAAAAAAAAAAAAAAAAAAAAAAAAATTGAAACAAGCAATCTAGACTGCAACAAACAAGTTCAAGTTATACTATTGTCTTACTGTCATATTTGACTTTGAATATTCAGCTGATGAGGAGTGCCATAGAATAAAGAACAATATGAGGGATACACTAAAGAACCTGTGTATCAAAAACAAAGCCTGGAATTTCAAGAAGAACCATTACAGATGACATTCGAGGGAATAAACTAATAATCACTATCTATCATTTTAAAAATTCAGTTTTCATGATAAAAATAGCTAATTTATTAAATATGAATGCATGTCACCATAATGGTATTATGTTAATGCTATTCTCTTATTTAGTTGAACTAGAAATTATAATAATGACTCAAAAACCTATTCACGTAGTTACATCCAATATGTCCGGAGATTTTAAGAGCAACTACAGTACCACACCAACCCCTATGAGTCAACAATATTAATAGCAGATTACAACCCTATAGTCGCCAGCTGAAATTCTGTCATGAAAATATGACAGAAGGTATTGACAACTATGGCAGAAGCATGACATAATAAAAAAAAAAAAAGTTATATAGAAGAAAAATATACCAAAGAAACTGTTGAATATGATAAATAAGGAAAACTAATGACATAAACGAGAAAAAAAATTATAGACATGTAGAAAATAAAACTCACCAAAAGTATTACAAACATAAGAGTTGATGTCATAAACTTCACAACACAACTTTGCTAGAAAATAGAAATTATCAAGCAACAACAAATTGACACAAAACAAGACAAAGGGAACAAGAGAGAGTGAGAAGTAACAAATAGAATCACAAAGATTCATAAAGGAATGAGGTTTAATTGCATTTTGGTCTCTCTGCAATCTACAATGGCTTAAATTTAATTTTGGTAACTCGATAATTTTTTATCCGAATTGAGTAAGCAAACTCTTTTAATGAAATAAATCAAGTCCTTCTATCAATCTGCCATTCAATTGATAAGAGGAGAAATAACTAACATGGCATCAAATTTTGAAATATGCATAACATGTTGAGTTTATAATTGGTCATCGTAAAAGAAGCACCATGTCAAACCAGGATTAAAATGGACAAACAAATTAATAAAATATTCAAAAAGAAATAAATAGATCAGGCATTTTAATCCAACACTTCACTTCCTTTTAGATGACAAACTTAGTTACATATTATAACATATTTAAAAATTGTGTCGTGTCAGTTATTTCTGTCAAAAATTGGATGACAGTGTGATGGAAGGACTTATTTGTTTCAAAAGGGACCAAAGAGGAAATTAAGCCAAGTAACAAGGAGGGGAAATGGTAGCAGAGAGCAAGAAGAAAAAGAGAAGAAATAATGACCAAAGAGAACAACGGGAACAAAAAGAACATAGACATAGAATTAAAAAGAACAAAGAAAGAGGAGGCACAAATGGCCAGTGAGTATGCCTAAATAAATCAAAGACTAGAAGAGTAGGGAGGAAAGTAAATGTAGATGAGTTGTTCACCAGATATGGATCTCATTTACCAGAAATGGTAGACATCATAGTTAAGTTTTGTGGTGCAAAAGTCACGGATTTAGTTCAGTTTTGCAAAACAGATGTCGTGGAGGAAATTCAGGTAACTTATAAAAAGGATAAACACCACAAGCCACCGAAGTAGTTTTGGACATGTTTACACTTCAATGTAGGGAATACAAGTTGAATCACATGAAAACATAGTGAGCAGACTTGAATGGAATCAGGTAGACTCAAGCTACATCACATAAACTCACAAGTCTGAGAGTGAGCTGGTTCACATAAATTTTTGCCCCGCAAACATAGCAATTGTGGCCCTATAACCTTGGGAACTTTCAGACTTAAAGCTCGCCCAAGAAGTAAATCAATTGGATAATCCATTTATTCATTCTTACAATTTTGTCATTGTCAAAGCACAGGTTACTTTTTCATTTCTCCTCAGCATCAAAGTTCAGGTTGATAACCTGATGCACAACCAGAGTTGCAGCCTTTATCGTTCTTGCTGATTCTGCTAGGAAAAGCTCATCCATATTCCGGTTCTTAATTCACCTCTTTGTAGCCTCAGAAGTTATGTTGCTTGTCTTTAGTTGAATGGGTAACTGTGTGTACTGACATCTATGTTGATTGATACACTTGCGTGGTACTGTTGTTACTCATTGTGTTGTACTATTGTTGATTGGTTGATTGCGGTGTTTTGGCACTGCTCATCCTTAAGAACTTCATATTTGGTCATTTATGCACGGTTTTAACATGTATTATGATCATACTTTGTAATTCTGATTTGCTTTAGCGAGAAGGTGAGGTATGGGCATTGTGTAAGCATGCGTGATTGTATTACCATTTATAAATCTAATGTAATGTAATTTAGTCATTAGTTTAATATGGGTAGGGACCACCGATGTAACTTTTACCAACAATTACATCATTCAATAACTTTCAATTAAATAATTATTTTTCAAAACTCACTGTTAGATCGAAAGTTGTATATTCCTAAATCAAAATTTATATTAATCCAAAATGATTAAATACCTCATTCATATAGATCAAAATGTATGTAATATATATATATATATGAGGGGGGTTATAATTATACCTGTGTAACTTTTACTAAGTATTACACCGCTCAATAACTTTATATTAATAGTGAATTTTGTAAATTCAAAAGTTAGATTGAAAGTTCATATCACTTTATACGTATATATCAAATTTTGTTGAAATTAAACAACTTGAAGGTAATGAAAGTGTTCATATTTTAGTGTATTTTGAAATGAATATATTACGTCAATTTTGTTTTATAAAAATGAAGTATCAAATCATCTTGGATTAATATAAAATTTTGTATATATGATCTAAGAGATATAAACTTTCAATCTACCGGTTGGATTTATAAAACTCACATTTAATATAAAATTCTTGAGCAGTGTAATACTTAATAAAAGTTACACCGGCAATTTTTTTATATAGGACCTTCAGGAACAATTAATTGGAAATATCGACATGTGCTTAGGGAATCTAAACCAAAAAAGTATTAAAAAAAAATAAAAAAGATCATTGTTCGTCAACAAAGAAGCCCTAACGCATTGTAGATTCGTATCCAAGAGTTGTATCATTTGAAAATACCATGTGAATTACTTACTATGAACATATAGTTAACCCAATAATGAAAGTTACATCACTTTTAATATAAAGTTATTGAAAGATATAATAATTGAATATATATATATATATATATAATGATTAAAAATTGAAATGGACACTATTAATGTATTATGGTAACAAAGAATAAAGAATTCTAAAAAAATACAATATTACCTTGGCTTTTGAAAGGTTAGGAAAAGAGAATATGAGAGAAGAAAAGGGCGCAGCAACGAGGGTGAGCACCAGAGACCCCACGAATAGACCCGGCAGATTAGATAACCCCAATGAAATGGCACCCTCATCGCGCAACGGAAGAACTACGAAATACGCACTCAAGATCTGCGACAAATAACAAAAAAGAAAATACATTAATTAAAAGGGAGAGAGGGATAAGAAACATTTTCAGTCATCATCATCGTGGTTCATTGAGCATAGAAACTCACGAAGAAGAAGCAGAAGAAGGAATGGAACAGAGCAGAGGTTTCGTGCGGGTGCACTGTAACGAACACGGAGACAACCACATCAAACGTAGACCTCCCCATCGCGTTTGCGTTTTGAATCCAAGCAAATGGAAATGGAATGGAGAAAGACCAACTTAGAGACTTAGCATAGCTAGCCAACCCCCCGCCCCGGTCAAAATCTTCATTCCACGTGGCAAAATACAGGGACAAGGAGTATTTATTTATTTGGGGAAAAAAATAGTAAATTACGTCATCCATGGGAGATAAGTATAATCGTTCCCTCTTTATGTTAAAATGTTTCGTTTAGAACACTTTATTAATAAAAATTACACACACACACATATATATATATATAAGTATTATTTATAAAGATATTGGGATAAATTTATAAAATATTTTATAATTAAAATAAAATGTTTTAAATTTATTTTAATTAGTTATTTATTATTTATAAGAAAACTAGTTCACAAATACATAAGTTTGAATCTTATTATTCACATAAATAGATTTTATTTTTATTTTTATTTTTATTCAGTTTTTACCAACAATTAATTCTATATTTCTTTATTATTCTCTCCAAAAAATTTCGTTTGTGTTTTCAAAAAAATTTATTTCTCTTTTTTTTTTCTCTTCTCTTCTAAATTTTTTTATCCCTTCCCCCAAAATTTCACATTCCCATATTATTAAAAAAAAAAACTTGCAACTTTTTTTTCTATAAAATATAGTACATTTGAATTTTTTTTCATATTCTTACAATAAATATTCTACCATGATTTTATAAAATAATAGAGAATTTATTTTTAAGTTTTTAAAATTGATGGTTCTAAATTTCTTATCATGATTATATGTATAATTGATTTCTCATATTTTATCAATAATTTATTTTTTATAAAATAAAATTAAGTGAATGGTGAATAGAATTTTTTATTATTTTTAATATTATTGTGATGCTTAATGTGATTTTTTAAAAATTGTTTAGTATTTTTTAATATTTTTGTTTGATTTAAATATATTTTTAATTTATGTAAATAGGAGTCTTGATTTTGATCCCCATAAAAAAAATTATTTTCATCTTTCTAAAATTTGTAGTACTATTTTTGGTCTTCTTAAAATAAATAATGAGCAAAACATTAGTAATCAAGTTGATATTAACCTTTGTCACATATGACCACATCATCTATTTTTCTTATATGCAATCAATATCCTTGTCAAAATCATTAAATAAAATATAAAAAAAAAAATACAAAAGACATAGAAGGCATTGGATGTGGAGACATAAAGAAACTTCACATTACAAAGAAAGAAAAGAGAAGAGAAAAAAAGGGCAAACAAGTTTGAACAGAAGTGATCAGGGGAGACAGGAACTCAGAGTGAGACAAATAAAGATCAAAAAAATATGAATAAAATTGGAATATGAGATTATAAATAAGCTGTCTTTGCCTTAAATTAAAAATCTCAAATAAAAAACATTTATGCCTAGTCTAATGTAGTTTACCTAATATCAATTATAAACATAGAAAGACAAAAAAAAAACAATTATACAATATGCTGTTAAAAAAATATTAGTTATATATAAGATTTTTATAATAATTTTGTTAAAAAGTTATACTCTAAAACAAGGATTTGTGATTTGAATAAGAGAATTCATGTAACAACTCCTTGGGTTTTCAGTCTGACAATATCGGTTTCTTTTTTTTTTTATAGAAATGTGACCGGTAATCTAGAGTGTTACACGCAACAACATCAACCTCAATTATACATCAATCATTCACCCAAAAACCTCTAACAACATCATAGAAGTCAGCAAGAGGCATGAAATTAGTGAAACCCCAATCAACTCTCACGAGCTTTGAACTGATGCTATGATTCTGCAATATGCAACTCAATTAAATCTTTTATAATAAAAGAAGAAAAGAGAAGAAATATAACACAAATAAGGATAAATATTCCTTAAAGAATGAGAGATTTTATAGAGACAAAAAAAAAAAAAAAACCTACCATTCAACCTGACAGCTAAACTACAATCAAGCAAAATGTCAACCCTTAACAAGATTAATATACAAGCATCAAAACTTAAGGAAATCACCAACACTTTGATCTTTCATCAAGAACACTCAAAGCTCTAATGCTCGACACATAACCTCTTGGATTCAATCACTACAACTATAGCTTTCAGAAACGCCACCAATCGTAAACTCTTAATACATTCGATAAGTCAATTTCTCACCCACATCCAAGGTTCCACTAGTTCTAGTTAGTTAGCAAGATACCTTGTCTTCTACCACCTATGCTCGCAACACGAGCGATGCCACCTAACCACTACTTCTTACATAAGCAAGAAGTACCAAAACAATTAAGCAATCATGAGAATAACAAAGAGCAATCAAAAATAGCATCATCAAGTTATATCATGTCTATCAGACAAATCCTGAGAACACAATGCACACAAATAAACAAACAACAACATAATCAATCATCACATTAGCACATCAATAAGTTCAACAATCAATTCATCACATTATTAATCTACCAAACAAGCATAGTAGACTCATAACTCACGGCCAATTGGATCAACCTGCTCTGATACCACTATGTGTGACACCCTTACTACCCCAACACATATATAAATAAATCTTGTAATTAACTAAAGAATAAAATATTCAACAATGGTAAAAAGGGTTCACATAAAACCTTCATAAATAACCAAAATAATTAAAAATAAAATTTAGAAAGTAAAACTTGAGAGTTTACAAATTGTTTTCAAAAGAGAAGGTATAACTCTAAATACATATAAAAATTTATCCTAGAATCCTCTGCCCCGATGTCACAATATCAGAGCACACCCATAACTCAATGGTTGGCATTCTAGATGCCACTCAAAGCCGGATCTTCCTCACCTAAAACATCCACAAATTATACGGTAAGAAAAGAAAATATCTATATGGAAAGCACACAAGGAAAAACACAACATAATCCATCATAACTCCTTACTGAATGAAATATTCACAAGCATTTATATATATCATAATTTAACAATCATTCATCATCTTCACATCTCAATTACATCAATCCATCACAATCCACACAAATCTTACAATTAACACTATGCCAAGGCCACGCCACATCTAACACAAGTGATACGGGTTAATTGCCTAACTCATCACACACCATGCTAGGGGCACGCTCGTCCTTGTAGCATCACTTACTTAAGGTTCGTCTCATCCCTGGTCATTAATGTGAGGAACCACAATCACATTACAATCCACACAATCTCTTGCAATTAACCCTATGTCAGGGCTGCCATATGTGACATAAGTGATGCGTGTTAATTGACTCACTCATCCCACACCATGCTAGGGGTACGCTCGTCCTTGAAGCATCACTACTCAAGCAATTTTTTTAGTATTCTTTATGAACACTCTTCTATGATAAAAACATGAAACTAAGGATTTGTCATTATTAAAACATTTATTTATGGCAGGATTCAACAACATGAGTCACATTTTCTTTGCCTTGCCATGTGTCAAGTTCTCATAAGTTATTTTAGATATAAGATAATGACATAAATGAGAGGAAAATTTAAAATTTGAAATATAACTAGGGTTAGTAATTTTGAGTTCAAGTTAACATAACCTAGGTTAACTTAACTTGCACTACAAGTTAGCAATCCTTATAAATAGGTTTCTCTTGTATATGACATACTTTTGAGTTATATATAAGAAATAACGTTGAGTTTTCTCTTCCAAAAGTCTTGTTCTCTTTCTTGGAAAAATTTTATCCTTCAGAATTTTTATTAAGAAATTTTTTCTTATAGTAAATTCTTCATATTCTTATTTATCTTTAATTGAATTGATGCATACCTCCTCCTTCCTCCTCAATCATTTGAAGTTTGCTTTCGAGTTTTATGATCTATGAAAAAAGATTGAGCATACATTGAAAAAGATTGAGCATACATTGAAACTAGTTGAAAAGACATATTAACCATCTCTAAACTAGTTTCATCATAGATTCTATAGGTGTACACTATGAGACTTAATCCCTTGATATCATTGATGGTGATCTACCTAAAGGCCTCTTTGTTGGCTCCCAACACCCTTACAAGCTTCTCCTCCATTGTTTTACTTAATCTTGCAACAACAATAAGAGAAAAAGAAATAAGACGAATAGGAAAAACATATTTTAAGTTGGAGGGACAAGGCTTCAACTCCAAAGCACGAAGGGCTTGGGCTTTGGCCTTATGCCCACTTCCAACTCTTCAAACATTTGATTTCTCCAAGGTTTGGAACCTTGAAGAGGTTGAAGAAACATAATCATCTGTTCATCCTCCTCATTTAAGAACCAACTTAATTCCTTTATAATAATAATTTTATCCATCATTTGTTATCAAACACATCTATGTCCTGCACAAAATTACAAGTAAAGGAAGAATTTTTTTAATGAATCAAATACTCTAAATACTACCTCCAGATCTCCTGTCTTAAAGACTAGGTTACCATGACAAATATTTATGATCACATTACATGTTGTTGCTGATTGTACGCAAATCAAGGACAATGATACAAAGATAAAATTAAATAGGCCACTGAATCGGGTGAGGTTTTGTTAATACATTCAGCAAGTATAATATTTATTACCTATTTTAAACTATATTTATATTAATTCATGCGAATCAGTTAGTGATTTACGAATTAGCATGTGATGAAATACCTCTCTCGAGGTCAGTTTTAAAACATTAGTTGGAATGTGGAAAAAACACTTGCAGGTTTCAACCAGGTAGAAAGGAACATCAATTCAAAGTCTTCACGATGCCTTGTATATGGCTAAGAATCTCATCCACAACTATTTTATTGTATAATGTGGTTGGTTACGCTAAATTTTCTTTCTCTATTGGCGTGGAGGCACCATACGGGTAAGAATCTTGGAACATTCTTATATTTTGAGGACACATTTTTTAAATTATATTTCAGTTCTTTATAACTCACTTTAGACGAGTTCTACATTGAACAACTGAATCAAATGGTATACCATGGTCCATTTCTTTTTGACGCGATCTTCACATGTTGCCCCCTTGATGAGAGTAGGAAGATAAATAAAATGAAGAGCATAGATAAGAAAAATGAAAAAGGAGGTGTAGGTAGTGATGGTGAAAAGAAAATACCTTTGGATTTTAGTATGTTTTATTTTTGTTTCTTTCTTTGTAATTTTGTGTATCTTCTTTCTATATTGCATTTGTTGCCTGGTTGTTTATGGGTTCCATATTTGTCTTGAGGTTGAAGCGTTGGTGTGAATAAGGAGGATTTCAATTTTGAACATTTCAGTAATCCACTCAGAAAATCTTTCAAAGTTGAACTCTCATTATTAGAAAGGGTGTATGTAGTCATATATTAAAGTGCCAAAAAGAATTTTGAAGACACATACTCTTGTTTTGAAGGGGTTTCTTTCTTTCTTCAAGTATCAGGTTTTGTGTTTATTGCTGTAGTATTATTCTAAATAGTAGTGAAATAGGTTACTTAAGTTGCATGCTTATCTTCATGTATGTCACATTTCTCGAAAAAAGAAACTGATATTGTCGAACTAAAAAGTCAAGGAGTTGTTCAATGAATTCTCTTATTCAGACATTATCACAATCCTTATTTTAGAATACAACTTTTTAACAAAGTCATTATAAAATAACTGCTTGTTTTTTTAAAATGCATATTGTATAATTAATGTTGGCTTTTTTTTCTGTTTATAATTTGATATTAGGTAAACTAGATAAGACTAGGCATAAATGTTTTTTATTTTTAATTTTTAATTTAAGGAAGTGGCAAGCTTATTTATAATCTCACTCACTCCAATCTTATTTATATTTTTTTGGCTTTATTTTTCTGCCTCACTGTGCCTGTCTCCCCCTCTCACTTCTGTTCAAATTCGTTTGTTTTTTTTTATTTTATATAATCTGAAATTTCTTTATTTCTCCACACCCAATGCCTCCTATGCCTTATGTGTTTCTTTTCTTTTCTTTTGTCTCTTCAATTCAAGGACGATTGTGGAATGCTTTTGCTTCTCTGATTTTGAATTGAACTCGATTTTTTTTTCAATATCTCTAATTCTACTTTTCTTCTGTTTGGAGTGCATTGAGACTGGACTGCTTTGCTGTCCTTATTTCTATTTTTGATTCATCTGTCTATGTTCTGGTTCTTTCTTGAACTTGCGTTTTCTTGTTTTCAAGACCGGGTATTTTTTTTTTTTTTAATGTATTTGATAGGGATATTGATTGCATATAAGAAAAAAGATGATTGGTCATATGTGACATAGGTTAATATCAACTGGATCACTAATGTTTTGGGTGCATTTGTGTGCCCATTATTTCACTTTTAGGAGTGCTGTTTGGTGGTTAACCGGATTGACTCTGGAGCCCTCCCGGCACAAAAACGCAAAAGAAAACAATAAGTGGATAAAAGGATTTTTAGAGATAAAGTGAATGAAAAGAAGAATGATGGAAAGGATACAAATCTGTTGTATGAATAGTTGTTTTAATTCTCTTTGAATCGTGGATTTTTTAATTTCTTAGTATGATGTGTATTGCCTAAGCAATGATCATGTTTATATAACATTTCAGGTGGTGGGACTTGGGATATGATTCTCGACAAGAAGTACAATAAGTGCAATCAAATATAAAATAACTTTTGTCTCTTCAATTCAAGGACGATTGTGGAATGCTTTTGCTTCTCTGATTTTGAATTGAACTCGATTTTTTTTTCAATATCTCTAATTCTACTTTTCTTCTGTTTGGAGTGCATTGAGACTGAAATATAAGAACCTAGTGCACGTTTTTTCTGCTGATGATCGGTCAAACCCATATTCAGATCAAATATATTTGGAGCTTGAAAAGTTGAACTATAAAATAGTACAAGAGGGATATGTGCCTGATATGAATTCTGTTCTGCATGATGTTGAGGATTCAGAGAAAATAAAGATGCTTAATCATCATAGTGAAAAGCTTGCTATTGCTTTTGGGTTGATATTTATTCCTCCTGGTTTGCCCATACGAGTAGTTAAAAATTTAAGAGTTTGTGGAGATTGTCACAATGCAACTAAGTATATATCTAAGATCACCCAGAGGGAGATTCTTGTAAGGGATACTGCCCGATTCCACTTGTTTAAAGATGGAATATGTTCATGTGGAGACTTTTGGTGACAGGTCCAGTTGTCATATTCTGGAGTCTAAAGCGATTAGAAAACTATGCCATAAGCACCGATGAGTGTTTGACCAAGCATTGAAGTATTTTGACATAGGCGCATCTTCCATATGAAATATCTGTTAAAAACTCACTATAGCATGTACATCAATTCTTTGTGGCAGGATTGGTGGGATAGTTTTGTCAGTTTAAACAGATTTTTTGGGAACAATGGAGGCAACTATTATTTTGTTGTTGAAGTAGTTCCTTTTAGAGAAGTGGCTTTTATCTTCTGTGTTTTTTCCCATTATTTCAATCGGATGCAAGAATCCGAAAATCTATTTTTCATATGGAACAGACGCGAGAACAAGCAATGGCATTACAAGTCACCATCGTATAAGACTGCCTAAGGTTTTGCTCATTTGTCCTTGTCTGATTTAGGGTTGTCTCTATGTTTGCCCTTATTTGTGTATGTGTGCCTTATTTGTCACTGTTTGTTTTTGTGTTTGTTTGTATCTTTATCTATCTGTGCTTGCATCTCTCTCACTCCCTCTGCGTGGGTGTTTCTGTGACTTTTGTGGGAGTTTGCTTGTGTGTGTGGTCATGCCTCTATGTCTATAAATGCATTCGTGTTTATGTTTGTGGGTGCTACTATATAATTGAATTTCGAGAAAGGGATGTTTTGCTGTTATTAAATGTTAATGACCCTTAGCTGAATTAGAATGTTTGAGTCGATCCTTGATCAATTTTTACTTAGATGGTACGATATAGTTGCCCCTAAATTTGACTAACAAATGAATTTTTTAAGCATTGGAAAATGTGATGTTTTTGTCTAGTTGTTGTTTGTTCAAGAATGCCCCAACTTGTTGAACGAAAATTGGGTATATAAATTCTAGTTACCTGATTCAATTTGGGTGTCACTATGACATGTATTTTGAAAAAGAGATGTTATGCTATTTTTTAGCCTTATTGAACCTAAATGGAATCTTTATGTTATAGATGTCTTTGATTGACCTTGACCCTGAAAAGTTCAAATTGTGGGGGCCACTATCATTGAAAACTTGATATCTTTTGTATTCTTGCACACAGTTTTTCTTTTTGATTATTTTAAAGTATTGGAGTTATGCTCTATCTTTACCTGTGTTTGTGTATCACAATTAAATTTTTGGATTTGATGCTCACATTAAAGTTTCTGCTAAACATTTTGTGCATCTTCTTTTTTTTTTTTTCTTCGAATTTATGGGAGCGGCGATGCATTGGTGACAGTGGAGGTTGTTGGGAAACATCTGTAGTTGATATATTCAAACAAGATGGAGAACTTTTCTCTTATATCCTAATTGAATCTTTGCAAATGTGTACCTTTGTAAAGCAAGATGCAACTGGGAATGTAGTGATATATTTCAAGGTACCAATTAATATTTCTGCATAACTTGTTTTAGTTAATTGAACTAATTTCTCATTTGTTATGTGGCATCAGAGCTTGGGTTGTCTACTCGATGGTGTGGATGAAATACTATTTGTCTCAATGGGGTTGACATAGGAATAGGATTGAGTCCCTTATTTACCTTTTATAATTTTGGCTTCAAGGAGTGGTTTAATATCCTTTGGGTTCCCTCTTTGGTTTGCAGTTGTTTTTAAATTGAAAAAAATTGTACAATATTCCACGAAATCAAAGTGGTATGCTTTTATTTTAGATAACTAATATTTTTCAACATTATCATGCACTAATCTGTCATGTAGTTCATTGGTCTACACTGATTTCATGTATAACGATTCTGTTCCAAGTTAGGATGGGTTTTTAAAATCGAGACCCTGTATATTTTTAAAGAGGGATTTAAATTATATTTCAGTTCTTTATAACTCACTTTAGACGAGTTCTACATTGAACAACTGAATCAAATGGTATACCATGGTCCATTTCTTTTTGACGCGATCTTCACATGTTGCCCCCTTGATGAGAGTAGGAAGATAAATAAAATGAAGAGCATAGATAAGAAAAATGAAAAAGGAGGTGTAGGTAGTGATGGTGAAAAGAAAATACCTTTGGATTTTAGTATGTTTTATTTTTGTTTCTTTCTTTGTAATTTTGTGTATCTTCTTTCTATATTGCATTTGTTGCCTGGTTGTTTATGGGTTCCATATTTGTCTTGAGGTTGAAGCGTTCCTGTGAATAAGGAGGATTTCAATTTTGAACATTTCAGTAATCCACTCAGAAAATCTTTCAAAGTTGAACTCTCATTATTAGAAAGGGTGTATGTAGTCATATATTAAAGTGCCAAAAAGAATTTTGAAGACACATACTCTTGTTTTGAAGGGGTTTCTTTCTTTCTTCAAGTATCAGGTTTTGTGTTTATTGCTGTAGTATTATTCTAAATAGTAGTGAAATAGGTTACTTAAGTTGCATGCTTATCTTCATGTATGTCACATTTCTCGAAAAAAGAAACTGATATTGTCGAACTAAAAAGTCAAGGAGTTGTTCAATGAATTCTCTTATTCAGACATTATCACAATCCTTATTTTAGAATACAACTTTTTAACAAAGTCATTATAAAATAACTGCTTGTTTTTTTAAAATGCATATTGTATAATTAATGTTGGCTTTTTTTTCTGTTTATAATTTGATATTAGGTAAACTAGATAAGACTAGGCATAAATGTTTTTTATTTTTAATTTTTAATTTAAGGAAGTGGCAAGCTTATTTATAATCTCACTCACTCCAATCTTATTTATATTTTTTTGGCTTTATTTTTCTGCCTCACTGTGCCTGTCTCCCCCTCTCACTTCTGTTCAAATTCGTTTGTTTTTTTTTATTTTATATAATCTGAAATTTCTTTATTTCTCCACACCCAATGCCTCCTATGCCTTATGTGTTTCTTTTCTTTTCTTTTGTCTCTTCAATTCAAGGACGATTGTGGAATGCTTTTGCTTCTCTGATTTTGAATTGAACTCGATTTTTTTTTCAATATCTCTAATTCTACTTTTCTTCTGTTTGGAGTGCATTGAGACTGGACTGCTTTGCTGTCCTTATTTCTATTTTTGATTCATCTGTCTATGTTCTGGTTCTTTCTTGAACTTGCGTTTTCTTGTTTTCAAGACCGGGTATTTTTTTTTTTTTTAATGTATTTGATAGGGATATTGATTGCATATAAGAAAAAAGATGATTGGTCATATGTGACATAGGTTAATATCAACTGGATCACTAATGTTTTGGGTGCATTTGTGTGCCCATTATTTCACTTTTAGGAGTGCTGTTTGGTGGTTAACCGGATTGACTCTGGAGCCCTCCCGGCACAAAAACGCAAAAGAAAACAATAAGTGGATAAAAGGATTTTTAGAGATAAAGTGAATGAAAAGAAGAATGATGGAAAGGATACAAATCTGTTGTATGAATAGTTGTTTTAATTCTCTTTGAATCGTGGATTTTTTAATTTCTTAGTATGATGTGTATTGCCTAAGCAATGATCATGTTTATATAACATTTCAGGTGGTGGGACTTGGGATATGATTCTCGACAAGAAGTACAATAAGTGCAATCAAATATAAAATAACTTTTGATATCCTCAAAGATTGGGTAATGTTAAGCTTTTGTTATTATTCTTTGTTCATTAGTGTGTTGATCATGATTTTATAGAATATGTAGTTATCGTATTTTTGTTAAATATAATTTTTTTAAAACATTAGTATTGGTTAAAATATTATTTCTTTTTAAAAATGAATTTATCTTTTTTGTTGATCAAGATGTTCTTGAAAAACACCTTTGATTTAAACTAAACAATAAAGTATTGTATGATCAGGTACGATATTTTAATTTCACCTTTTCGAAAAGTTGTATGTGTTTTGATGATGCGCAATATATTCTATTTTTTATTTTCATATTTAGTTCCAATTGTTTCATGTGCAAACCTCAAATAAATAGTTGAAGAATAATTTAATACATGTTACATTAAGTATTTTTGATTTAGTGATAAAATAAAAAGAAACAAAAATAGCTATTTGTCATTTTGTTTTTAATTAATTTTGTGAAGATTTATTTATTTAATTATTTTAAAAAATGATAATATAAAAGATTATATATTGTATTAAATTATAAATAAAAAATGAGAATATTGAATAGAATATAACATAACCAATTTAACAAAACAAAGTGAAATATATTTTTAATATTTAGAGGATAAAAAATAAAAGTTAAAATGAAAGATTCAAATTCTAATTGCGTTTTTATTTTATTTTTAAAAATTAAAATATTAGGAACATCATAAAAATATTTTATTTTTATCCATGTTAGTGAACATTTATTAATTTTAAAACATTTGAGAAACAAAATATAAATAAATAAATATTTTAATAT